GGCTCAGGCAATCCACTCACCTCAGCCTCCCAAAGGCACAGGATTACAGGCTGAGCTACTGAGCCCAACTGAGGACCCTTTTTTGAGTTGCTGACTGCCACCTTCTTGTGTCCTCACATGGCAGAACAAGGACAAGGGAGCACCCTGGCCTTCTTTTATAAGGATACTAATCCATCGTGAGGCTCCACCCCCATGACCTAATCACCTCCCGAAGCCCTACCTCCTTATACCCTCACTTCGGGGATTAGGGTTTCCACATATGAAGTCTGGAGAAGCACATACATTTAGTCCATTGCATGGTATAACCTTTATCAAATCACTTAATTACCTGGACTCCATTTTCCTCAACTCTGAAATGGGCATACAAGTACCTCTCTCTTACTGAACTGTTTTGAAGAGTAAAATGAGGTGATTCAGAAGAAGCATCTGCATGTACCTGGCACATGTGAGCCCCCATGCACAGAAGTTGAGGGGTAACTAGTCAGTGAGCACCTACCAGCAAATCAGTTGTGGGAAACAGCAGCAAGACATGGCCTCTGGGCCTGGGACCCCTGAGGGCTTCAAGTCTTAGAAAACCATGGGCTAGTCTCTGACCAGGATGTCCAGAGCTACCCAGAGCAGGGTCAGCTCTACTAGAAGCCCAGGGACCTGGAGGTCCCCTGCACATGCCCAAGGCCACTTAGCAAGAGAGGCTGTTTTAAAGGATGTGGTGTAGATGAGGCAGTTAGGAAGTCCCCAAGCTGGTGAGAGGGGCACTGAATCCAGCTCCCTGAGCTGACTCAGGGCTGACCAGGACCTCTTGCTCTTCTTAGCCGTCTGCACCTGAGAATTTCATATCAGCCCAAGTTGTGGGCTTAGAGGTTGTATAAGAGAGGGGGATCAGGAAGCTTGTTCCAAAGGTAAACAGGATTCTACATGTACCTCACTGAAAATCCTTCCATGTGGAGCTATGTTGTAGTTTAAATAAAACCCAAACTCTGAGCTGGGCGTGGTGGCTCACCCCTATAATCCCAGTACTTTGGGAGGCCGAGGTGAGAGGATTGCCTGAGCCCACAGGTTCGAGACCAGCCTGGGCAACTTAATCAGAAAATTAGCCAGGCATTGTGGTGCATGCCTGTGGTTTGAGGCGGAAGGATCACCTGAGCTCGGCAAGTCAAGGCTCCAGTGACTGGGAGTGTGCCACTGTCCTCCAGCCTGGGCAGCAGAGTGAGACTCCAACTAAAAAAACAAAAAACAAAACAAAACAAAACCCCAAACTCTGGCCAAGGTTTGTGCCTGTAATCCCATCACTTTGGGAGGCTGAGGCAGGAGGATTACTTGAGCCCAGGAGTTCGAGATCATCCTGGGCAACATAGTGAGACCTTGTCTCTACAGAAACAAAACAAAACAAAACTCCTCTGACCTCACTCTGCTCCAGCCCCATGGACCTCCTTTCTGTGCCTGGCAAATCTACATCCTCTCCTATCTTAGGGACTTTACTGTCTCCTCTGACTGCATGTGTCTCCTCTACCTGAGCTTCTTTCTGCTGTGTTCAGACTGAGCCTACAGGCCTCTGAAAGGCCTTCGTCCACAAGTCTACCTTATATAGGCCTCCCAGTCAACCTGTCTCAAGCCCTGTGTATTTCTCCATTTCACTTACTGGTCTCTGAAATTATCTTGCTTATTTATTTGTTGGCTCGAATATTGTCTGCTGTCCCCGCTAGAATATAAACTCTAAAGGGATGTTTGTCTGGTTTACACTTAGGAAGCAGGCAATACATTGCCTTGTGAATTTTTAAGAGAGTTCAATAAGGGTTGTGGACAGGATAAAGGAAACCAGCAGGGGACATTGAGACACCCAGAGCCTGGTAGCAGCAGGAAATTTTTACTCTGACGTAGCATTGGGGACAGCTGTACTGGTAGAGTCAGGATGAGAACACCTGGCCCAGAATCATGCTGTTATCTACTGCTAGACAACACATTATCTCAAAATTTAGTGGCTTGAAACAACAGATGTGTTGTTGTACAGTCTCTGTAGGTCAGGAATCCAGGGACAGCTTAGCTGTGGAGTTTCAGCTTAGGGTCTCTCAAGACATTGGTCAGGGCTGCAAGTATCAGAAGACTTCACAAAGGTTGGCAGGTCTGCTTCCAAGAAGGCATGTTACAGGGTTGTTGTCAGGAGGCCTCAGTTCCTTACCCATGGCCTCTCCATAGGACTGCTTGAGTGTCCTCACATCATGGCAGCTGGCTTGTCCCAGAGTGGTGGGTGATAATATAGTAGCCATGATACTTTTTTTTTTTAGAGTCTCACTTCGTCACCCAGGCTGGAGTGCAGTGGCATGCTCACGGCCACCCCAGTGTCCACCTGCTGGGTTCCAGCGATTCTTCCGCCTCAGCCTTCCAAGTCTATAGCCGGAACTATAGACGCACACTACCACACCCGGCTAATTGTTTATTTATTTTAGAGATGAGGTCTTGCCAAGTTGCCCAGGTTGGTCTTGAACCCTCAGGCTCAGGCAATTCACACACCCCAGCCTTCCAAAGTACTGGGATTACAGGCTGAGCCGCTGAGCCCGGCCCTTTTTTTTTTTTTTTTTTAAGAGACCGAGTCTCACGCTGTCACCCAGGCTGGAGTGCAGCAGCACAATTATAGCTCACCATAACCTTAAACTCCTGGGCTCAAGCGAGTCTCCTACCTCAGCCAGATTATAG